AGAGGCAGTCCTGGGCAGTCGAGAGTCCGAGAGAGTCCAGGGGCGAGCCTTGAGGCAGTCCAGTCTTGGGCGAGTCTTGGTTCAGCCTTGTGAGAGTCTTGGGGACTTTTCCCCAGGGCGCTGTGTCTTATAGAGTGCTCGATTGACCGACTAAGACGAGAGTTGAAACATATTTCGTTGTGTGTGCCTTATTTGACTGTAAAGTTAAAGTGACTTCCCCGATCCCGTACCTCAAGGGGACGAGATAGAGAGACGAGACGAGATTCCCCCCTGACAAGTGTGGAGAACTATCAGGGGGTAAAATCTTCTCCACGTCATATCTTTTGATTAATCGTTCACTACATTAATAACTATGAATGTAAACTGTCAGAATCGCAACGGATATCTGGTAATTAGTTCCAAATGACTGAGCCAAGTTCCGTCCAAAACTTCAAATAGGCCTACACGATGACAGACATAACACAGCAATTCGCTAATAATCAGTTAATTAAGTCGGTTAACAGATACGCGAAAACAAATTCATGACAGAACCCCGTGGAGAAGATTTTACCCCCTGATACGTGGTGGAGAATCCGGGCAGGTGTTTAACACACATTGACATCCTGTGAAGAGAAGTGAAATGGCGAAGATGTGTCTTTCTTGTGAACCGAACTAACTGGCTCGATGGCAGAGAGGAAACCGCACTTGACGACTCACGACTTTACCCGAACGACACCGATGTACAACGCTGAAGAGATGAAGACTTCTGAACCCCTTATGAAGGACGAGTATCGTATAGGACTGTATAATTAAGAATTGAGCGACATTAAAGACAAGAAGATGAAGAAAAAGAACGACCCAGACTAACGCGAGAAGAGACGCTTATAGACTTTGACTTTAGCTATCTGTGTATTGCTTAGAGAACCGCTCGTTGGACACTGTAACTGACACTGTGTAACTCAAGGGGACGAGATAGAGAGACGAGACGACATTCCCCCCTGACAAGGGTGGAGAACCCCGAGAGAAGATTTTTCCCCTGATAGTACGTACAAGAATTTACATCCAAATAAAATAAGTCCTAAAGAATAATCCAGGGAAATTACATTTTCGAAACTGTAAAACGACTAGATGACACAATTCACTGCAAAATTCAATTTTCACTGTAAACTGTAAAAACGTCTTTTTCCCCCTGTAAATTGTAAAAAGCCCTTTTTATTTCCCGTAAAACTGTACCAGCTACCCTCTTTGCCCCCCTTAAACACGCCAACGGACTACACTGTAATGAATCCGGTAACGAGCGTCAAAAACATGCGTAACACTGTGTTACTTCCTGTTTTGCCGGACCGGTATGCCGCTCCACTATGATATAATAATTATATTGTAGCCATAAGACAAACAGCACTGTATCACCGGAAGTCGTCATTATACGATCCGAAATACATCATTATTTTCTAATTTTGATGTTGAATCCTGGGGTTTGAATTAACCTTGATTGCCGTGTAACAAAAATAATGCATTTTTTTTTTACTATTTCTGAAATGCGGAGATATAATCAGAAAAACTATCACGCAAATTACGCTGTATTTAGATGAATTTAACTGTAGCGCCCTCACAGGTTCTACTTTTAAGTGTATTCAGCTATACTTATAGGCTGCAAAGTTACTGAAATTGTGTTCGCCCACACGCTTTCAATCCACTTCCTTTTGCAGTTGATAAGAGGGAAGGGGTGCACGATAGACTATATTTTCATTTTGAATACAATAATTCAGAAATATGTTTACTTTTCATATTGTCGTTTTCACTATGCATTCATGATACATGCAGTATATTTGCTATACCTCATTCATCACAATGTCTTCTGTGCTGCAGCTAAGCAGCAGATGATGAAGCTGTATGAAGAACTGAAGTTAAAATATGAGTACCTGTCTGATAGTTCCAGTGGAGAGAGTTATGAGGGTGAAAGTGGTTCTAATGATCCTGGTGATAGTGCCGATACTGACATTCTTTGCGATGAGGATAGAGATTGATAGGAATGGAGAGGATCAAAAATAGATGCCTAGGTTCAATATCTACAGTTCCTCAGAAAGTTGTGTTTTATTAAAAAATATGAAAACTTTTTTTATATATATTTTATTTATTTACATACAAAATATTACACTATATAAATATATTTTATCTTTATATTTTGTGTTATATTAGTGTGTTTGCTTTTCACAAACTTGTTTAAAAGGTTTGTTTGTCTTCATACAGTGGAAAGTGCAGCAAGTTTTTTTATGTCATTCACAGAGGTTTATACTGTTCTTTACAAATGAAGTTTCATGTTTAATACTAATTTGATTAAGTTATTGTTGTGCAATAAAACAAACAAACAATAACTCTTTCTCATTGCAGTATGTTCATCACAGCAGCCGTCGTCTATACAATATATGTGAATAAACCCAGAAAATTATAACCCCCCCTCCTTCACTCTTGGAAAAATTATTAGCCCCCCCTTTTCATATACAGAAAATGGAAAGCCCCCTCTAGAATTGCCCGGCACCCCCCAGGCCAGATTAACTGGTGATTCCCTTATGTTGACCAGATTTTTTTTTATTTGAATGCAACTGACAAAAACCTTGTCATCAGTAAAAGGCAAACAAGTTATGACAATACAATCCACAGATTTTACAATGGAAGCGCCCTCTTGTATTGAATACAGCACAAAATGAGTCATACCATATCACTAAAACACAAATATATTCACATCAGAATTCAGTAATACCTTGAAATATTTATTTCATAATTTGTACAGCTACATACAATAATGTGCATAAATTTGTGATTCAGTCAAATAAATCACTGCACTGAAAACCATACACAACATTAATTATATCATTTTTATAAGAAAATTAGCAATATACAACCAGGAGTGAAGTATTTGTGTTGATTGTAAACTCACTGTGTACAAGTGTTATTACAACACTTGCACATTCTGTCACTGTGTTACATTGCAATGGTAAATGATGTGGATGTGCAGAATATTGTCTCATTCACTCATGGGTTCTTTGAACTAACTAACCAATCACATGATATCATTCACTAATGTTATTTGAACTAACCAATCACATGGTATCATTCACTAATGGTTATTTGAACTAACCAATCACATGATATCATTCACTAATGTTATTTGAACTAACCAATTACATGGTATCATTCACTAATGTTATTTGAACTAACCAATTACATGGTATCATTCACTAATGTTATTTGAACTAACCAATCACATGGTATCATTCACTCATGGTTCTTTGAACTAACCAATCACATGGTATCATGCAATAATGTTCTTTGAACTAACCAATCACATTATTTCATGAAGTTTTAACTAAGCAATCACTAATTGTAATTTGAGCCAATCACATAGCATTCACTCATTGCTGTATGAACTAACCAATCACCTGATGCCATTTGCTTACTGATGTTTAGCTAATCAATGATTGGAAATTTTATGAAAGCATTATGAGTATTCAACAAAATGCATTATGGATCATAAATATCCTAAAGTAATACTTAAAACTTCAAAAAATAAATACAATTACCGGTATAATAATTATATGTCTAGTGAAAAGTAAAAGTACAAACTGATCACATAATAAAATGTTATTCAAGTCTAAAACTAATTTTAATATACAACTGACAAATAAATCATGCAATACCATTATATTAATTACAAAAAGTCATTTTTACAAAAATATTACAAAAGAGCACTGTAAATTGACATACAGTATCTATATATTCGCCACAAATGGCTATATTTAATGTGTACTAAGCTCCATCTACTCCTAGAATTCTCCCATCAAATCTTTTTAAATAAAGGTCTGCTTATAAAGGTACAGTATATGTGTATTGAATGCAATAAAAATACATTTGAAAATAACACATTTTTTCATTGTTGATGCACGACTATAAACACATACAAATGTGATTTTAATAATCAAGTACTGTGAAACATTTTATTTTCACTTCAAGTTTATTTTTGCTGAAGAGGTTACAAATCAATGACAAGGAATTCCAGTGCGAATGAATTTGAGCAATGGCGGCATATTTGATTTACTAGATAAATAAACCCCTATTGCGCTTTGACCTCAGCTCGTCAACTCTAAGTGACTGAATGGTATTATTTAGTATTGACAATACTTATTTTCTGTACTACTTCGTGATGACTGTCATTCAGCAGACTCATGTCTATAGTGTATGTAAATTACAGTACTGTTCTGAAGACTGGTCTTAATTTATGAACAGGTTTTGAACACCAATGCAATCTGTCTCTTTTATGGCAATCTTTTGAAATAGAGTCTGTACAAATAAGCTTTGTATCATTTACTTTAAATTCATTGGTTTTTTTGGAAAGGGAAAGAATAATATGAAATAAAAAAGCAAATTTTGAACTGTTTTGAGTAGAAGATGTCAATACCTATCAAAGGAAGTGCATGGGATGAAATCACACAATATGGTACATGTGGTTAGATATCATGATACAAATCCCTTACATAGTCACCATATGTTGCATTCAGAGGACAGCGACCTTACAAACATTCCTTTTGATGGTTCATCAGCACAGTTGCACAAAACCTTTTTCGACATACACATAAAATAAATTGTCTATCAAAATCACAAAAAACAAAAAAAGTATGGCCACATTATGGATCATACCATGAATACACAGGACTGAAAAAATGCCAAAAACTAACAGTATGTAAGAAGCTGTTTCAAAATTGTAGTTTTTTGTATACAAATACAAACATGAAAATTATTCTTACATCGAAAACCCCTTTTCCTCACAGTGGTTTGTTATCCTCAAAATGCAGTCAACCGTACTACTAGTATTTGTTTGTTGCAGATAATACAATAAATCTCATAATAATTGAAAAGTTAAAACAAAGCTGCGTTAATTAATAAAATAATTAAAATTTAGCCATCTGCAACAATTACGTTTAATAGAATTTGCAACTAAAACTATGCAATATTTAAATTCACCTAGGGAGACTTTATTACAATGATCTTTATTGCTCCCTTGTGTAGAATATAACCTCCACATTAAGGCATACCTAAGGAGTTAATCAATCAGGTTTGATATATGTTACACAACATACTGGTACGGTGTAGTCTTGCCGCTGTTCAAGTTGGGAGATGAGAATGGAGAAAACCAGTGAATGGAAAACTTGCCACCAAATACAGATCTGAGGGCAAACCATTTAGATTTCTTCGTCCAGGTTGGTTTGTCTTGCTTCAATTGTTCTATACCCTGCAAGCAAGATAAATGAATAATAAATTTGATACTGATTAAACTAGCACAGAATATACGCTGATGAACGAAACAAAATCTGCAGAAAAGAAAAACTTCTATTATTATTCTATTATGGAGTACTTTATTTTGTGTGGGCAGATATTTTAATTCATGCAGGCAACAGCGCCCTCTGTAGGTCATTAGCATACATTTTTTACATTTTGTTTTTGTACAATTATCCAAACTTGTATTCATTTCAACAATTCTTTGTAGTTTCAAAGAGCATTTTTACAGATGAACCCTGGAAAGGCTCTTTCCTGTAAATCAAGACCACTAGAGTTTTCTATAAATATAGCAGACGAGTCAACTAAATGAAGTAACATGTATTACATAGACTTTACTCACCGTTTCATCGGTGCAAATTGAATGCACTTGGGTACAAAACATAATAGCAGTAAATAAGGCAAATAGAACTCCCTCAAATATCATGAATATAAGTAATATCACTGTGGCTGGCGGTGAGTACCTACTGCAACCTGCAGATAAAAAGGCTATGATAAATTAGTAATCAGTTGTGTAATAACTGTACTTTACATATGTAGGATAGGGTGAGAACCAACATCATTTTAATGGTGACTTATTATAAATACCGGTAGCTTTAATGTCCCATGTGAGGGACAAAGTTTGCGAGATAACATTGAAATTGCAGCCATTCGGTCATCTTGAAATAAACTGTCAAACGAATACATGTGTGACATAATGTATGTTTAAAGTTTGAACATGAATATGACCAGTCAAGGCAAATCCACGAGGCATATCATTAAAGGCATGCATGGAAGTCAATCTGTAAGTCCCATTTTCAACAGCGTCCCAACAACCTGCTACAAAGACTACAACTAAATTAGACAATAGGTGGAATGGTGGGTGGGGCACTTTAGTAACCTGTTACCCAAATGACTAAATATGACCAAATCCTGCTACCTTATTGGAAGATCATTTCATGAACAGCTGGTCATGCAGTGAATACATATACATACATACTTGTCACATCTCGTATCATTACATCTAATACTCAAAAACTTCAAACATGTTGAATTCTTAAATCTGAACAAACCTGACGCCGAAAACTATTCAATCAAAGTCATAAGGCCAGTCACACCGTTATGACTTGTCATGACTGAATGCATTGGAGTGTGAAAAATTAGAATGTGTGTGGTGGGCTTTACGTAATCATATTAATCTAGTGTATAGTACATTGAGACTGTCTTGTAACTAAAAATGTACAAGTTAAGAATCATTTGAGTTGGTTCATAGATCCTGTACATTTGTACTCAACTCTTCTGCAATATTTATGCATAAAAATTTTAGTATTGACTGCAAGATTGATTCATAATGACATTGGAGATGTTGACATAAACAGTCAACAGCTGAACAAAATACGTGTATTTTTATATTTATGTAAAATCTAATTTATCTTACAAATTTATGAACTATTCATATTTACACAAAACCAACCAAAAAGCTTATATAACTGAATTTAAAGAAGTGTGTCTGACAACAAAGACTGCACTATAATGCAAAATTGCGAGACAATCCAAGGTAATAACAATGACTATAATGGCTGCTCTATTATTATAGTATTTTTTTGAAATGCTTTTTTAGCCAGACTACAGTTCAAGACATTGAATGTCACTTATTGAAATTTATGTAAGATACATTCAACATATTAGTTCATAATAATTATTTTTATTTGCTCAGTGCCACAGAGATGAACTGCTGACAACGATCTTATTGCACTCATGAGGCTGAAACACTGCATGCATCAAACTGTAGTAGGTGAGGGGCATGCCCTATTGCTTGATCACATCTTGCTGCAAATAGATTCATCTTACTTTATGAATAATTCATTGACATTCAAACTGCGAGAATACTAATAAATGACTACTACATCACAATGCAACTTTTTATAAGTTACGAAACAGACACTGTAATGATGCAGCCAAAATTATTTTAACTATTTTTGACATGGTAAGCTGTATTAAGATTCATATAGGAATTTATTGGCACAGGAATTCAGGGATAATGGAAGATTAATAAGTCAGAAATTTAGTAATTCATTTTTAATCTATGAAAGTGGTCTAATCCCTGCAGGGACTGTGTGTTTAGCAAAAGGTTAAGTGAGATCATTTTTATAAATCAATTCCAAACAAATAAATCTGTCTCTCTCAATAAAAAATTTGATTGGATACAAATCACATACACTGACTGCGAAATGAATAAAACGTACCGAGAAATGAAAATGAGGACTACAATGAAGTAATGTTGCAATCCAAACTAACTTTCCACAATTAATGATGAGAAATGGAAAACTACCGAATGAAGAATCTATTCACATGATCCAACAATCCACAATCAGTGTACTAGACATGGGATTAGACATGTGCAGATATACATGTGTAGGTATATTTGCTTCAGACAGACATTTACTTAATACCAGTCTTTACTGACAATATCTTCGTTGGAGTTCATATCATGCAACCTTGTTTCATGAGGAGATCAGTCAGACTGTCTCCGTGGCATAAAGTAACCACTCTGTCTCGGCAATGTCAGGAGTTCAACTAATTATAAAGTCAATCATTTCACTGAAACGACTGTTAAAGACAAGTAGATGAGCATGACAATCACAAAAGCCATGATAAATGACATATTGATGAATACTTACTGCTCCACTGTGAGTTGATGCAGGAAGCAAAATGCCATATTCCTAAAAACAGTCCGTAAATTGAGATTAAAGCTATGTACATCTGAGAGAAAATATGAAGAAGAAAAAAAAAACAATATCAGAGATTTGGAAATCCATTTAGTATTATTAAGTCGAATCTTGCCACGAAGTATACATGTGCTTGTATATTAATGATGTACGACTTTTGACTACCAATATACAGCAATTTAATGTACAATTACCTAACACGTACAATGGCAGAATTTAACAGCACTGTAAAGTACAATTTATAAATGACAGATTCATTCAGAGTTGCTCCCATCAAAGAACAGAAAGTACACACTTTTTTTACTTTAACTCCATTTTCATGAATCATAAATTATGATTGCATCAAATAAAAATTGAACATTTTATCACTTAGTTATTGCTAATGTGCTCAGTCTTTCTTCAAATGATAAAAAAAACACATAAAATTGCACCCGACTTTATCAGTGCTATACGTTACGTCATAGGTATCTGATTGAAATGACATGTACACTGAGCACAGAAAATCTAAAGTTGTACACCATTAACTAAAAAGCATGCTGCCAGCTGAAAATACAGTGAGCATGGCAATGTGAGAAGACTGCCCTCATAAGAATCAATTCCGTGATATCATGCTGCAGGAGATCAAAACAGTTCAGTCAAGAGAAAGGCAGAATTGGATACGTCAAAAACAAGCCATGCATGGCACAGTCCCCGTTAGTTATCAAATTTAAGATATATAGTTTTGTTTATAGTAATATAGCTGGAATATAACCATGTCAGGAATATGATTTTTTTAACATTAAAATGATTGACATTTGTATCTGATCCTCAAACAAGTACTTGTCCATATTGAGAGATATTGCTCTGGAACAGCATTCAAAATCAGCCATTTTGAATACATGTATATATCTATAACATGATGTATAACGAATATATAAAATTTGAATATAATCAGTCAAAGCATTTAGGATATGGTTCTAGAAGCCCAATCATTAGAACAAAATGGCCGCTAGTCAGCCATTTTGAATCCAATCTGAAAAATAAAATGACGTGCATCAGGAACCTGTAATGTCTAATGTATGTTATAAGTTTGAACAAAATCCATCCATAAATGCAAGATATTTGATGATTTTTTAGCACAAAAATGACCACCATTCGGCCATTTTGAATTGGATCGTCAAACGATGTATAATGAATATTTAAAATTTGAACATAATCAGTCAAAACAAGTCAGAGATATGGGTCTAGAAGCCCATTCATTAAATGCCAGTCGGGCATTTTGAATGTTATCTGAAAAACTAAATTATTTGCATCAAAGTCCCATAATGTCTAATGTATATATCAAGTTTGAACAAAATCCATCTGTAAACAACTGAGAAATGCTTGATTTTTATGATTTTTTGCATAAAAATGGCCGCCATTCGACCATCTTGAATCAGATCGTGAAACAAATTGATGTGCATATGTATAATATCATGTGTGATGTATGTGTGAAGTTTGATTGTGATTGGTCAAGGTATTTCTAAGATACAGGTTCGCACACACGCATGCATGCACGCACGCACGCACGCAGGCACGGACACACACGCACGGACACACGGAGGTCAAAACATAAGTCCCTTTTTTCGGACTGCGTCCGAACGGGGACTAAAAAAACCTGTCAATAAACAAGCCGTTCTCTGATTGGTCTGAATCTTAGGGTCGGGTAGCCAATCAGACAGAATCTTCTAAGTAGCTTCACATTGACTCCATACATGTAGCTGTGCAATTTTAAGTGAAATAAAAAAATCCTATACTGACTGAAACAATTAAGTTTTACTCACAGTAAATAATACAAAGTATTTTTGATTGTTTTCTCCTACGCAATTATTCACCCATGGACAATGATGATCCATTCTTCTGCAAAAAAAAAAAGATAAAAATATTGAAACAATCGTGAACACAAGGTTGCATCTTTAAATAAAAGCACAACCGTGGGTTTTAGAGCCAATGCTGTAAAATTCCCACTGAAGACAATGCATGATTACAACCCATCATCATGCAATGAACTAATTGCACAGAAGACTTGCCAAGGCTCGGCATCATCAATTATATAAATATTATATTTACTTTAACATGATCAATGGACCCAACAAAGTAGATCAGTATACCCTCCTTATAGAAAGACCTACTTCCTGCAATTTTGTTGTCAATCAGAGGAATATTCATCAATATTTCATGCATTTTGTATCCAAATGCCAGTACAAGTGATTAAATGTTGTTTTCTTAAATGAAATCTTATATCTCAGTGCAAAGTGCCGGAGGGAAACAAGACCATATATTCTATTTGATAGCTTGGTGGCTGTGTGCAACAGTGTATATCTCAGTCATATTACATCCAGCAGATAACAAAGAAGCTGCAAGCAACATCTTTATCTGATTTTATTTATGCAGTCTTTTTTTTAAAGTAATCACAGAAGTAGCTCTTCAAGTTGTTCTATTATCACAACACTGTTTATCAATGTGTAACCATGGTGTAATAGAATATACATTAAGTAATCAACAACTTAATTCTGGTCACATATTAGTACCAGAGATTCATTTTGCTAAATATTTGTGGTATACATACATGTACTAGGTGATAAAACTATCACTATCTGCATTTCAGAAATGACCAATTTTAAGAAAATCAACTTAGACACGTACGGTACATGTAGAAGAAAAGTCATATTTAGACTTGGAACAACGGAACCACGGAACCTAATATATGAACTGTTTACGTCATTCATGACAAAAACAATGTCATGTGAGTGTGAGGTTAGATTATCCTACTCATTATGCGTGTTCTGATCTTCTGTTTACAATGATCTTTCATATTCTATTCCGATAATTCAATGAATGAAACCTCTGGTTATATTGAATAAAAAACAGACTATGATTACCTACAACCATTTTCTATAAAGTACTGATTATGACAGTACATGTATACGTTGTCTAAGTAGCCTGGTAATGAGTGTATGGCATTTGAGTTAAACTATATTGCAAGAATAAAACAGACTGATGTTTTTGGGACTGCCTTATTTCATGCACCAGAATATATACATTTTTTTGTAACATGTCACCTGATCACCCTAGTGTATTGATATTAAAAAAGTAGTGCAGTTAGTGTTGTTCAAAATGAGGGTATAAACAATGAGTCAATCATAAAATCTCACTGGCTTCTTTGATGTTTTGCATGTACTTATTAAATCAATACATAACAGTCATAATAATATTAATCATTACAGGGAAACAAAGCAAATTTTCAGATTTACAAATAATCAATACAGTTTGCATAATTCAATAAATTTCTGTTTAATTGCTGGTCAATAATTATTATAAGTATTATATAGTATGTAAACCACAGGCACGATATAAATTAATGCTTCTATTATATTTTTAATACCTGACTGACTTGTATGGGCGAGTTTATTCTGATGGTTAGCAAAATACTTTTTTTTCCCAATATCAATCACAGCTTGAAGGTAACTATACTCTTTAATCCCCGAGTCTTGTCAGAATAATAGAAGAGGATATGATGATTTGAATGCTATGGAAATAGAAATCTTAGGGAGAAAGAAGTATCAGTTACGATAAGCATGGTAAACTCATTACATTTTATCTAATATGTACAATGTAGTCACATTCAAACTAGAAACTGTGATATATGCATGCATAGGTGTGGATGTGCTGACTGCAATGGCTGTGAACGAGGAGTGTCATTTTTAAGTGAGTATACACACTGGCTCTCAATGAAATGCCTGTATCACGGGCAAGAGCAAGGACATACTTATGGTAATATGGTCATGATACTGCCTTAAATTGGAAGAGTGTAACTTGCATATATTTCGATCAAAAATGAGAACCCTGAATGCGTCTTCTTTTATTTACATTAAGTGTGTAGTCTTAAATACCTCAATGTCCAACCATAATGCATGGTAAATGGTGGTGGTTAGTTATGTACTGTTTTTATCATGAATTTCAGCATCAAACAGAAACAAGTATAGTTTACATTTGCTTAATGCGGCATTTACATGTACCGGTAGTAAAGCATTAACTGTGA